TCTCAAATGTCAGTGCTAGACTTGATTCTTCTTTGTATGGGGTTTGATTCGAATCGTGGTGTGTTTCAAACTCCGGCAACCTTTGCTCTTAAGTAGAAGAAAGTACGCCCGGGCCTTTTAGATGCCATTGGAACTTCTAGAACAATTGAGGAATTATTGGGAAATGATATGTAACATGATTCAAACAACGAGAAATTGAAATGATTCCTCAACGCCCCTGATACCAGAAGAATCTTGGCTGTTGAACAACGATGGTCATATTGACGCGTTATTATACCCTTCAACATGGTGTATAAAACCGACAACTATAAGATTCCATGAAGTCAACTAACTGGGCGTCTTGAAGGGATACCTATCGATGTATGGTGAACTGTAAGATTGAGGTTTCAGTCCATCTCACAGTTGTGACGAATCTTTAATCGGATAATACCAGCGCAACTTGAAGAGAGCCAGCGGCAGGGGGACTTGCCCGGCAAATCCGTATTGTTTTACGGTCACGTGAAGAAGTCTGAGCAACTCCTACTTTCGTACAAGTCCTTGCTTGTCCGTCTAATAGCAAATATACACGTTTCAAGGGGAATTGAGAAGACTGCCCTGAGCTGCAAACAGCTCCATGTTGCTTGTGAAGAGGATATCAGCACAATGATGAAGAGCATCGAAATCATCCCCAGAAAATGTTGAAGACCTGTTTGAAAGTTTTGGTGGAAGCCAATGAAGTTACAGTACCAAGATGCTCGCAAAGAATCTTGAAAATAAGAGCACAAGGTGTATCTTAATTCTAGGTTTCTTTAGATCAGTGATCTCTGTGTCGAAATCCGCAAGTATTACGAGATTGGGAAATGAAAAAGTTGGAAAGCGTCGTCTGATAACCTCTCTCGAAAAGTACGATAGCTTTATCGTTAATTATCACGTGATATGGCTTGGCAGACAAACAAACCCATGAAGCCGAAGCTTTCCCCACTTGCGGTATGTACCGCTGCTTGTTCTTCTGATTTGTCTGTATCTCCGTAGTCATTGACATGATTATTGACATTACTGTACATTAATCTTACTTGAATACTGGGGATACATATTGTCGTCCGGTTTCAACTACTCCACATTGCTGTCGGTGAACGATAATGGATAACCCACCCGCACCAAAAGTCTGTGATCCAATACCGGTATCTTCAAATGTAGGTCGAGACAGTCAGGCCAATCCTCGTCGGGCCCCAAAATCTCGTGAAGGTTGTCAGCGATGCAAGGCCAAACGCGTAAGAATAACTTTCAAGGTTGTGAAGAACACAACAATTCGAGTATTGACATAACGGTAGTTGAAATGTGATGAGAAGAAGCCGCATTGCCTTCAATGCCTCAAGAGAAAGGCAGAATGTTGCTATGCTACCCAACGACTAGTCTGGTCGACGAAACATGAAAAGGTTCTTGTGGGGAACGATAGACCACTACCATATCCGGCAAGAACTCTACAGAGAGATTTGGGGGTATATTTGACATCTTCCATGGATACACCCCCCAGCGATGCTAATGTGGAATTCAATTTAAAGGAAGATCATCCCGAAATTGTTGATAATGATGAATCCTGCGAAGGCAGCAGAAGTGGATCTTCCCAGACGTCCGTCACCACCGCTCAGAGGAAACCTGCTACAGTTTTTACTGACAGCCTTTCCGCCATTCGTCATCAATTGCAAAACTCGAGCGTACCTGAATTCCTAGTTCATCTTCCAACAATGCTCGTGGAATACTATTTCGGTTATATCTGTGTAATATTCTCTTCCTTTGATGGTATGCTCAATCCCTTCCGGTCTACTGTTGGGAAACTCTGGGACGGCTCAGCACCAATATACTACGCCATTCAGAGTATGGCTGCTGCGTATCTTTCACATCATTTCCCACGCATGTCTACTGTGGGACTTCAAATGCAACGAGAGACATTTAAGTGCTTGTACCAATCGAGTCGAGCTGGAACGGAATCTCATGACAACATTGACAAAACTCTCCTGACTGTGCTTTTGGTTGGCCAAACCACCGCATGGCACAATCCTCGAGATCTTGGTCTGGCACACCTAAAGACGGCCAAGAGATTGTACAAACAACGACTGGTCCGTCAAGGCCCGGAAGCGGATACTAAAATGCGTCGACAAAATGAATTTTTCGAACAGTGTATTTTGTATTGGGATCTGCTTGCAGGATTTGTCGAAGATGAAGAAAATATCGTGATGCTAGAAGATGAGACACCACGGGAAATCCCAACAAGCTCAACTGCAGAGAATCACCAAATATTTCCGCATCCTTGGACTGGGGTAGCGCCGAACATACAAGTTTTATTCGCCCATGTAGGGCGATTGATTCGATCCTATCGAAAGTCAAGGTTCAATCCACTGTCAAATATTGCACTCACTAATTCATTTTTTGATTTTAATTCGCTGCCTATTCAACAAGATGTTTTCCCTAGCATCGAGTGGGCCAATAAGGCACGACTCTTAGAAGAACAAATACTGGCAGTGAATTTGCCATCCGAGACAGAACTTATCGATGCCGGTGACGATAATACCCCCGTTGGGCAGTACATTCTGCTAGCTGAAGCATACCGGTGCGCTGCTCTCCTAGAGATATATCGAGTATTTCCTACTATCTACCTGAACCGGCAGCCCGACTCTCAGGAGATTGTATCTTTGACACCCTCGCATTCGGCCGAAGAATTTTTGATATCGCTCGCACTACATATCATATCCCTTCTCGGGAAGATCCCACCAACGTCAGGAACTCGATGTCTTCAACCTATTGTCATGATTGTCGCCGCCAGTGAGCTCCGATTTTCTCCAGCATCAATGGATACATTTTCTATGGATGCATCATTAGATTCAAGTCCATACGAATATTCTGGTCACGGTCATGGTTCAGCATCAAGTGGTACAGTGATGTTAAACAGCATCACTGACTTCGAAGTGGATATTGCGGCAGCCCGTCGGTTCATTGTTACTCGTTTTCAAGATTTCAAACTATCATTACCTGCGAAACCTATGACGAAAGCGCTAATACTTATTGAAGAGACTTGGGCAAGGGCTGATCTTGGGCAAGAAGTATTCTGGAGTATGTGACTTGTTTTCTATTACAGTCTTGGAGAAGACCAGCTTGAACCCCCAACTCCTTCATTCGATGTCCGGGGTGATGGGGTCTTTTTAAGCATTGAGACATACACTAATTCACTTGAACTATAGTGGATGTAATGTCGGAAATGAATCTGGAGTGCATTTATGGCTGAGTCTATGCGATAAATCAACTACATACACGAGGGCTATATCAGTTGAACATTCCAGCTGCATGTAAGTACTCCTTGCCTCAATAATAGTGCTTTTATTGACTAAGTTCATGGTTAAGTATTCTTGCGTTGGTTATAAGTTGTAATTCTGACTACGCAACGCCTTTATCCTTCTTCTCGGGGAGATACCTGCAAATTCTTGGAATGTCGAAGATCGCAGTCATTAGCACAGTTCGTAGACTGCTTTCCACGACCAAGATGGTGACCTGATAAAGCTGGTAACATCCTGATTCCCTTTACATGCATTCAGTAAATCTCGGGAAGTTGCGCCACTAAGTTTAAGATCTCTACATCTTATTCCCTCAACTCTATGATCATCTGACAGTTTCGACTCGAGAAATCAATTCTCGTCGGATGAAGACCCTTTCGTCAGTCTGGGGTAATGTCTATTTGGCTGTCATTATCATGGCACGGCATGCTCGGTGGATGCTAATACTGACAGCCGTTGTATAGTTTAACTAGCAGTCGCAATGCGAGTATAACTGGCTTCGACTTTGAAGGCGTTTTATTTACGTTAATCACATATTTTATGCCGACGGAATGGCACATAGAAAATACTGGCAAGTTCGATGCATTGACGTACCAAAACATTGTGACGACTGATTCCATTACCTTTTTCTCCAGTCCATAAACCACCTTACTTAAGATTGGATATAAAGATACATCACCATTCAACTGACCAAGATATGATTTAGTGATGTGGATTAAAGCTTTTGTTCATTATATATATCCCTGAACATCTGCCGTCTATCAAACCAGACGGGGTATTCCGAAAAAGAACTTCTAATTCATGATGCATAACTCCTTCGACTTCCATTCCCAATATTACTATCTTACTTTCCACCACCGTTAAGTTGCAGAATTTGTCCTACAAAATATTAGTCACACGAAAGTTTACATCCCAAGAATAGGTCTTACCATTGATCCATTCAGACTCAGGACCTGCCAAGAATGATACAACTCTTCCGATATCCTTTGGAACACCGACACGTCCAAGTGAGCAGGCAGCAGCAAGTCCTCTGTCAATAATATTTACATCCATGCCTTCAGTTCCACCTGGCACGTAATGCCATGCATTTCTATATTCATGTTAGCGTTGCTCTCTGGATACTTGGTGGTAAAATACTTACTGCTCGTACATATCGGTCTTGATTCCTCCGGGAGCAATACCGTTGCAAGTGATCTTCTTTTTTCCACAATCCTTGGCGAAAGATCTAACAAATCCTTCAACAGCAGCCTTACTGCCAGCGTACAAAGCATGGTTTGGTACGCCGGACATATTGGCAGCAATGGAGGACATCAATACAATTCTTCCGTAGTGTTCGAGGTGGATGAGAGCCTGTTGAGCAACGAAGAATTGTGCTCTGGTGTTAAGGCCGAAAACTTTATCGTAATCTTCCTCGGTGACATCTTCTTCCTCCTTGAAGATCTCAGTACCTGAATTGCTCATAACAATGTCGATTTTACCGAAGTGTGCCTTGGCCTCCTGGAAAAGGCGTCGAACTTCTGGAACCTTAGAGACATCGGCTTTGATAGCAAATCCCTTGCTGCCGAGCTCTTCAATCTCCTTGACGACCTGCTCAGCCGGTCCGGCAGAATTGGCATAATTGATAACAACGCTTGCACCACGGGCGGCAAGCTCAAGAGCAATTCCTCGACCGATTCCACGGCCGGAACCTGTCACAAGGGCGACCTTGCCCTCAAGAGTCTTGAATGGTGCTGGTGATACAGACATTGCGTTGTGTATGGAAGTTTAAAGTGACTTTAAAAATGGGTATATGATGCGAAATTACAGAAATGCACGAGAAAATTGAAGAAGCAAGACAGAACGTGGAACAATGCAATGGATGAAGTTCTATATTGGAAAAGGGTAAAGAACTTCTTATATTATTGGACAAACCAGATCACGACAGCTCCTCGGACCTCTCGGTCTTCGGCCGTACAACAAGAACGCGGCGAGGCTTTAGAGGCTTCCGTTCCATTCTGAATAGGTAGCGCTCGTGCAGCTTCAATTTTTCGGATACTCAGAGTCTGGTACATTGATAATCATGCAATCGCAATGTGCTGAACGAAGTATGTATGGAGTTGAAGATCATTGCGATTATCCAATTAGGTTATCAACGAACGACAAGACTCAATACATAGCCTCGCAAAGATCCATATAAAGTTATAAACACATAGTTTTCGACTTTCCCAATATTCATCGCAATTATTGATGATGTTGTTTCAACATAAGTCCGCACGGCAATGCACGGATTGCGGTTGTAGGATCAAGTGTAGTCCGCTCACTCACTAGGGTAAGTAAAGGCTTCGTATGTCGAAGGTCTGATCATGTACCTAATTGTTTTCTTCCTTTAAGCTCTTTATTCTTTGGAAAGTTTGGAGCTTCCTTCCATTATATTTCCAACTAACCGATCTAACAAGTCCAGGTCATGTTTCGAATATGGAAACTACTTGCCAACCACGACTACTACTCACAGACAATTAACATAAGAAACAAGTCCAAGTTCTTTGACGATAGGTTGGTTATTGAGTTGAGAGGCCGCTTGTATTGTTCTCAGGCTCTCAGGCTATTAACCACTATTTTTAGGGGTTGAGACATCCCCACATTAGGGTCCCTACGTCCCTACACCAAATCCATGTCTCGGATCGACGGCTCCATGATTCACATATCCGTGGATAATAAAGATTCACCCACCATAAGCACAATCTACTCTATATGAGGATACTCATATATCAACTTCAGAAATTCACAATCAATAAAAAATTAGATATGCAGGAACTGAGACTTGACGAGCCCTGCCAATATCAAAATGCGACTGCGAGATGCAGCCAGAAACAACAAGCATTATCAATATAATCATAGCAAAGTCCGTATTACCTCAGCCTTGGCTCAAGTAATCGCTCGATGCGATACTATGAACCTCTTCACGATACGGTTTGACTTGTTTCAGCCCCGTCCGAACGTTGGAGAAAGTCCGATCAGGGGCCCTCTCACTACAATTTTTGACTATTCGCAAGAGGTACCAGGGGTCATATCATGTCATGGCGTGCATATTCGTCCCGGAGGTCGTACAAGCAGCCGGACTCGGGGCTCAGAAATTGAGCCAAAGAGCGAAGCCGCGAGGACCAGAAGCCATGCGAAGCTCAAGCTCAAGATAGCTCTTCCTTGTATCGTCAATCTTGACGGTCTCACGTCTCACATATATGTTGTGGAAGTCGTCGCTGGTCTTTCTATTATTTCATTCCACATTGTGTTCATATTCACTTCACAACTAAACTCATTACTACTCAGAAAAAAGAAAAAAGAAACTCTTCTTTTAGAAAATGGCTCCAGATAGAATCTCGTTTGAGGGTATGCAGCTTTCTCATCTCTAGACAATTGATTGCCGGGGAATATTACTAACGAAATATAGATTACCTCGACCTCACAGCCTTGATGTTCGATTGGGGAGACAGCTACGATGCCAAGGTAAATCCACACCCAATACTCACCGAACCCCCAACCCTCTAACAGCCCCTAGGACTGGAAACGCCTAGAATCCATCATCGCGCCCAACCTCCTCGTCGACTACACCACAATCGGCAAAGGCCGCTGGGAATCCATGCCCGCCTCACAATTCATGGGCATGGTCACGGACGACGATTTCCTCGGCGACCCCTGTGTCAAAACCCAACATCTTCTCGGCGCCACGCGCTGGGAAAAAATCTCGGACGATTATGTCATCGGTCATCATCAATTGAGAGCGGGGCATCAAGTGTATACGAATAAGGATTTGAAGGAGATTAAGTTGAAGGGTCATAGTCATGCTACTAATGAACATTATTATAAGAAGGTGGATGGAGTGTGGAAGTTTGCGGGGTTGAAACCGTTGGTTAGGTGGAATGAGGGGGATGGGGAAAATTGTTTTGAGAGGGTTTTTAAGGGGAGTTATAAGGATTAGGGATTAGGGGAGAGTTGTGATGTGATGCTATTTAGCTAGTGGTTTGGGTTGGGGTTGGAGGAGTATTTTATTGTGTCTGGTTTGATTGATGTCTGAATGAATCAATTATTGAAATAAATCTTTTGTTCTATGGTTATATTGTTACCATGTGGTAGTCCGATATTCGAGTGAGTGAGATTTGCTTGTTCTTTACTTGCAGATATAAAAGTTGTGTCACGAGTACTGTTGCATATTTTTGATTCCTGCTCCTGGATTGCTGTGGTGTGGTGTGGCATTTCATTGTTTCTATGTCTGTTTTTCTATGTGTATGACTTGACTATCGAGGAGTTATATGGATGTCCTGGTTTTCATGGTCTTTGGTTTATGGTTTATGAGGTTATGAGACTATGGCTATTTTCACTATCAGTATTGCTACTTGTGATGTCTGAATTTGAATTTGGGTTTGAATTTGAGTTTGTTGCAGATCTGTGATGTTAAGTCAAGTGAGTTGAAGTGAGTCAAGATCCAGTACTTCACAACACTTCCAATCCAGGAACCAACGGGTTAATTGTGCCGCGATGGATATAGAGAATGTGTGTGCGCACAGGTTTCCGCGTGAGGTGAGGTTCTCTATTGAGTGCAGTTTATTGTGTTGTGGGAGGGGGAAGGGGTGGGGATGGAGGGTCTATTGTATATTTGTGAGTGAGTGAGTGAGTTATAGTAATCTAGTATTCTCATATCCTCTAATCTCATCTCATCTCCCTCCATCAGACGAAGAGGTGCTTTGCTTATCTTATACTAAGTATAGCATAGGGAGCGGGAAGTGGTACGTACGTACATAGGAACAACAGGAATACCTATATAAACCACCATCTCCACACACACTCGGAACTCCATATTTCACTTGAGAGGGGAAGGAAGACCTAGGAACTTAATGCTTCTTCGCCTATGGATGGATGGATCGGTCAGATAGACTTGATACTTACTTTAAAGATATGTATGGGCTTGGATGAGATAGATATATTGATGTGGGATTTTAGGATTTGATATTTGATAAAGGATAAAGGATAATGGATAGTTGGTAGTTGATAGTTGATAGTTGATAATTTTCTTTGATGTATATACGAGTATCACTTTGCTCTAATCATGATGATTTGGTCAGTAATTAGTAATAGCAGTGAGTGAGTGCTTTTCGATGATGATATATAATGTCATATCATATCTATTCGAGTATTCGCTACTGGTCAATAAATACACATCATAACATCTAAAATTCAATCGTCTTTTTCAATCATTGCTGATATTTTTTCTTCCGCTGTCATCACTTATACTGAAAATATATACCATCCTATTCCCCTTCTCGGAACAATCGAAAATACCGGTCAAAGAACGAACCTCGTAACGAACTCGGCCTTGGCCAACTACGAGTAGTTTTCTGAAATTTCAATATCTGCAACCTCAGTTTGGCCGCTTCTTTGATCGTTTCTGTAAACATAGCGCATGCGGAATATTTAGTCTACTTCTGTTATTCTTAATCGTAGGTGAATGACTGAGTCCAGAATATTTTTCGTTATTCAATATAATCCAATCATATAATAGTATATCTATCCACACATCATATCAAGAAAAGAGTTATAGAAAAGAAAAGAAGAAAGAAGCAAGAGAGCAGAATAGTCTAACTACTCTACTCGAGTAGATAAGAACAAGAATTTGAAAAATATATAAAGTATACTTTCTTCCACAGCCTGACACCCATCGACACAAATACCAATACTATTGACTCTACATAAAGGGATGATGGTACCAGAGTAAGATCTTATAGCCGTATTCTGCTGTTGAGTACCTCTGTTCGATATCAGATGATAGATGATAGATAATGGATGGATAGTACGTCACATTATACTCGAGGATAAGATATATTTGTTGTGCATCTAGATACAAGTCATATCACTCTTTTCTTAACTTTCGAGAATATTTGAAGAACTATTGAGACCATAATGATAGTTAGTGATAGTGGAAGAAGTTCAATTCTTATATTTCAATTATTGTCGATTAGTCTTTTAACTTCTCATTACCGAATAGGGTTTATCATCAAGTGAGATTCGACTTTTAAGAGTGCCATTTCTTTTTTTCTTCAGAAGAAACTACATCAGATGCTTCCAGAAATTCATAATCTACCATATTACAAAATATGAGGACAAATATCTTAAACATATATGGGATGAAAAGAAAAGTATTAGCAGTTTTGCTGCATATCTGGAAGTGAAGTAGTTCAAAGTTCTTATCTAAAAAAGTTGTCTATCGGGAACTTGGGAAGAGAACCACATTGATTAGATTAGTAGGGAGAGAGAGAGGTGAGAAAGGAGATTCGAAGCCTCGGAGTAAAATGATGTCCTCCATGAAGATGGTCTAAAAGTGCCAAACTTGTTGCACATCTGAAATCTAAGGTTGAACCATGGTACAACCATGGTCCATGGAATACCAGAACTATGGTTCGATATTGCGCTCCTTTACAATACTATACTTTGTCACACTTATGATTACCTCTGATATCCCCCAAGGTTTTTGACCATAGGAATCCTGTCGGGGGTTTCCACCTTGAACTAAGGTAGGTATTTGGCATTTCTCATTCTATAATAGAGAACCTTCTGTACTCCAAGATTATCGTTTTCCATGAGCCATGAGCCATGAGGCGTGATCTCTAACTATGGGCACTTGACACTCAGGAACATCGGGAGCTTTCCCTTCGTCACTTTATCAATTCCCCTTTTCACTTAATGAAACTTTCACCATGTAATAGTAAAAGGGAATTCCACAGAACTCAGACATGCAACAGTAGAAACATATCCCTCTCAAAAAGTGATAGTCATGTATATAAGATCTCGATTCCATAAAATAAATTCACCATCATGGAACCTTACCAAATCTCAATTAGCACCGATAAAAGCTTCGAAGCAGAAGCACAAAGCACAAACCATTTATTCCCCTCAAACCCTAGAGTTCCTTCCCTCAATTCCCATATCCATAGCCAAACCCCCATCCATCTACCATCTACCATCTACCATCTATCTACCTCTTAACCGACATAAAGCCCTCAAAGAATCTCTCCATCTCCTCCGTATCCTCCAATTCCCCCATCCAACTCACATATTGATCTGGTCTCAACACTATTGCGCACCCCCTCATCTTATCAACACCATATCCTTCATACGCCATTCCATGCCCCTCATGATACGAAACATCATCTACATAAACCTTCCAATAATCATGACCATCCCTCTTACTCCAAGGATGGAAAATATCCGGGAGATCTAAAAGCTCAATTTTAATCCGCGGCGCGCTATGAATCATGAGGACTTCGATCAATGAATCGATTGCTTTGTCTTCTGGTGTAAACTTTGCGACCAAGCTTTGTAATTCTTGACCTAGAGTGGTGATTCGAGACATTTGACTCTCATCCAAGATATTTCCCGCGAATATCACAATTCTCCAGCGTCCATCACTCTTTAGAAGTTCTTGGAAATGCCAAGGTCTTGCGTCAGACTGGTTCAGGACTTTGAAACTAGGCATTCGCATTCCGATCTTGATATTAGCAGCTAGGTTTTCTTTGTCGATGACTTTAACTCTGATATTCTGAGCAACATCTGTGCCATCTCCTTGCTCTGCAGCATCGCCTTCTTTCGCAACGATAACACTAGCACCGTAATTGACGGCCACACCACTAGCGAACAAATTCCCCTTTTCGAAAGCGTCTTTAAATTCATCCATACTGATACCCGCTTCATCCATGACATCTTTTGCCGGACGACCAGAAAAAAGTCGAGAGAATTTATGATCGAAGGCAATGAGGTCTTGGGCAATGCGTCGACGTTCAGATTGGTAAGTTTTCAGGATTGATCTATTAGCAGTACCATTGAGAACAGCAGCTATTTTCCATCCCAGGTTGTATGTATCTTGCATACTTACATTCATACCTTGTCCAGCTTTAGGGGAATGTGTATGTACAGCATCCCCAGCTAGAAATATGCGTTCATTCTTGGAGAAGTTCGATCCAACCCGTTGACCAATTTGATAAGCTGTCCACCAATCACAGTATTCATAATCTAGCTTGTAAGGTGCCATTGTTCTTTGAGCAGATTCAAGAATCATCTTGGGATTGATGGCCGATCGCTCAATCTTCGCTCCCTTTTCTGTAGTGGTGATCTGAATATATAATCTGACAAGTTTGTTCTCTCTTGGAATGACCATCACACTTCCGGAAATCGCAGAGTGAATAGCACATCTCATTCGAATATCAGGAAAATCTGTGATTGGAATGATATCAAGCACACCCCAAATGAAATCCGTTTGTTCACCTTCGAGTTTGTATCCAAGTTGCCTTCGAGTCCAAGAATGTGCCCCGTCGCATCCTATCATGTATTTTGCCTTGACCGTCTCTCTGGTTCCCGCTAAGCCGTTTTTATGTGCTTTGTTCAGAAGCTCATCCGTATCATCAGTCGCCATGTTACTTCGAAAAAGGCCATCAGAAGCTGCTGCTCCATCTGCTGTTACTTGGTTCTGCTCGGGATTCGCTTGTTCATCGCTGAGATGTTGCAAAACGACTTCGATGGGATATGCATCGGGGTCTTCCGCTTTTGTTTCATCAAAAGTGAACTTGTCTGGTAGCACACCTCGTTCAACTCTGATATTACTGTGATCTTTGAGAGAATCGAGGAAGAATCGTTCTATTCGACCTAGAAAGAAACATCCATATGAGTTCGTTTGACATTTCTATGCCATGACGAAAAATACCTTGGTGCAGAACAACCTGTTGAAAACGACTAATGCCTGGAATAGTATCAGGTATTCTATCCGATCTTCTCAGGTTTCCTTCCGCGTCTGGATTCCACAGGCAAATCTCGAGCATATGATTGCTTTCCTTCCATACTCTATCTGCAAAATCAAACGAGTCGAAGATTTCTAAGGTCCGGCATTGAAGTCCATCTGCTTGACTATGTCGAACCTTATGTTAGTTCATGAGTACTCCAGAGATGGAGTGAATTCGAGAAATTGTACCCATTAAAGATCTTGGTACCTCTCTTGTCGACAATCCTCGCATTGATTCCGCATCTCGCCATCCAAGTCGCAGCCATTAGTCCAGCAGGACCAGCTCCAATAATGAGCACATCCACATGAGAGATGGGTTCCGAACCCATAGCTGTACACGACCTTTCTTTATTTGTTTTCTATGGATGGAAAGCTAAAAGATCAAATTGAATATGAATAGCACGTGTAACATGTAAATAGGCACCAAGGAGCTCATCTCAGAGCTTTTAGCCCAACTCCAGCTCGAGTGAAGCTACAGCAAAACCTCGATATAAGGATACTTTTTTTTAGCGCCTAAAATAAGGATATATCGAGGTATCCTTATATCAAATTCCCGATTAGGCCCGATGGATCTCCGATTAGTCCCGATAGAGCAATATTAAGCCAATTTCTTATCACGTGATCTTATATTCTGATTATATAAGCCCAGATCCTTATCCTATAGGCCTAAA